AGAGTGATGTGAGTGTGAGTGATGGAGAGTGATGTGAGTGTGAGTGATGGAGAGTGGTGTTAGTGTGAGTGATGGAGAGTGATGTGAGTGTGAGTGATGGAGAGTGATGTGAGTGAGAGTGATGGAGAGTGGTGTTAGTGTGAGTGATGGAGAGTGAGTGAGGTGTGGAGTGATGAGGAGTGATGTGAGTGTGAGTGATGGAGAGTGATGTGAGTGTGGGTGAATGAAGAGTGATGTGACTGTGTGTTGATTAAGAGTGATGTGAGTGTGAGTGATGGAGAGTGATGTGAGTGCGAGTGATGGAGAGTGGTGTTAGTGCGAGTGATGGAGAGTGATGTGAGTGTGAGTGATGAGGAGTGATGTGAGTGTGAGTGATGAAGAGTGATGTGACTGTGTGTGATTAAGAGTGATGTGAGTGTGAGTGATGGAGAGTGATGTGAGTGCGAGTGATGGAGAGTGGTGTTAGTGTGAGTGATGGAGAGTGATGTGAGTGTGAGTGATGAGGAGTGATGTGAGTGTGAGTGATGGAGCGTGATGTGAGTGATGGAGCGTGGTGTTAGTGTGAGTGATGGAGAGTGGTGTGACTGTGAGTGATGGAGAGTAATGTTAATGTGAGTGAGGGAGAGTGATGTGAGTGTGAGTGATGGAGCGTGATCGTGAGTGATGGGAGAGTGGTGTTAGTGTGAGTGATGGAGAGTGATGTGAGTGATGGAGAGTGGTGTTAGTGTGAGTGATGGCAGAGTGGTGTTAGTGTGAGTGATGGAGAGTGATGTGAGTGCGAGTGATGGCGAGTGGTGTTAGTGTGAGTGATGAGGAGTGATGTGAGTGTGAGTGATGAGGAGTGATGTGAGTGTGAGTGATGGAGAGTGATCGTGAGTGTGAGTGATGAGGAGTGATGTGAGTGTGAGTGATGAGGAGTGATGTTAGTGCGACGTGATGGAGAGTGATGTGAGTGTGAGTGATGAGGAGTGATGTGGAGTAGTGAGTGATGAGGAGTGATGTGAGTGTGAGTGATGAGGAGTGATGTGAGTGTGAGTGATGAGGAGTGATGTGAGTGTGAGTGATGAGGAAGTTGATGTGAGTGTGAGTGATGAGGAGTGATGTGAGTGTGAGTGATGGAGGTGGTGTTAGTGTGATGTGATGGAGAGTGATGTGAGTGTGAGTGATGAGGAGTGGATGTGAGTGTAGGAGTTGATGGAGAGTGATGTGAGTGTGAGTGATGGAGAGTGGATGTGAGTGTGAGTGATGAGGAGTGATGTGAGTGTGAGTGATGAGGAGTGATGTGAGTGTGAGTGATGGAGCAGTGATGTGAGTGTGAGTGATGAGGAGTGACTGTGAGTGTGAGTGATGAAGAGTGATGTGACTGTGTGTGATTAAGAGTGATGTGAGTGTGAGTGATGAGGAGTGATGTGAGTGTGAGTGATGAGGAGTGATGTTAGTGTGAGTGATGAGGAGTGATGTGAGTGTGAGTGATGAGGAGTGATGTGAGTGTGAGTGATGAGGAGTGATGTGAGTGTGAGTGATGAGGAGTGATGTGAGTGTGAGTGATGGAGAGTGATGTGAGTGTGAGTGATGAGAGTGATGTGAGTGTGAGTGATGAGGAGTGATGTGAGTGTGAGTGATGGAGAGTGATGTGAGTGTGAGTGATGAGGAGTGATGTGAGTGTGAGTGATGAGGAGTGATGTGAGTGTGAGTGATGAGGAGTGATGTGAGTGATGGAGAGTGGTGTTAGTGTGAGTGATGAGGAGTGATGTGAGTGCGAGTGATGGAGAGTGATGTGAGTGTGAGTGATGGAGAGTGATGTGAGTGTGAGTGATGAGGAGTGATGTGAGTGTGAGTGATGGAGAGTGGTGTTAGTGTGAGTGATGGAGAGTGATGTGAGTGTGAGTGATGAGGAGTGATGTGAGTGTGAGTGATGGAGAGTGATGTGAGTGCGAGTGATGGAGAGTGGTGTTAGTGTGAGTGATGAGGAGTGATGTGAGTGTGAGTGATGAGGAGTGATGTGAGTGTGAGTGATGGAGAGTGATGTGAGTGTGAGTGATGAGGAGTGATGTGAGTGTGAGTGATGAGGAGTGATGTGAGTGTGAGTGATGGAGAGTGGTGTTAGTGTGAGTGATGGAGAGTGATGTGAGTGTGAGTGATGAGGAGTGATGTGAGTGTGAGTGATGGAGAGTGATGTGAGTGCGAGTGATGGAGAGTGATGTGAGTGTGAGTGATGGAGAGTGATGTGAGTGTGAGTGATGAGGAGTGATGTGAGTGTGAGTGATGAGGAGTGATGTGAGTGTGAGTGATGGAGAGTGATGTGAGTGTGAGTGATGAGGAGTGATGTGAGTGTGAGTGATGAAGAGTGATGTGACTGTGTGTGATTAAGAGTGATGTGAGTGTGAGTGATGAGGAGTGATGTGAGTGTGAGTGATGAGGAGTGATGTGAGTGTGAGTGATGAGGAGTGATGTGAGTGTGAGTGATGAGGAGTGATGTGAGTGTGAGTGATGAGGAGTGATGTGAGTGTGAGTGATGAGGAGTGATTGAGTGTGAGTGATGGAGAGTGATGTGAGTGTGAGTGATGAGGAGTGATGTGAGTGTGAGTGATGAGGAGTGATGTGAGTGTGAGTGATGGAGAGTGATGTGAGTGTGAGTGATGAGAGTGATGTGAGTGTGAGTGATGAGGAGTGATGTGAGTGTGAGTGATGAGGAGTGATGTGAGTGATGGAGAGTGGTGTTAGTGTGAGTGATGAGGAGTGATGTGAGTGCGAGTGATGGAGAGTGATGTGAGTGTGAGTGATGGAGAGTGATGTGAGTGTGAGTGATGAGGAGTGATGTGAGTGTGAGTGATGGAGAGTGGTGTTAGTGTGAGTGATGGAGAGTGATGTGAGTGTGAGTGATGAGGAGTGATGTGAGTGTGAGTGATGGAGAGTGATGTGAGTGCGAGTGATGGAGAGTGGTGTTAGTGTGAGTGATGAGGAGTGATGTGAGTGTGAGTGATGAGGAGTGATGTGAGTGTGAGTGATGGAGAGTGATGTGAGTGTGAGTGATGAGGAGTGATGTGAGTGTGAGTGATGAGGAGTGATGTTAGTGCGAGTGATGGAGAGTGATGTGAGTGTGAGTGATGAGGAGTGATGTGAGTGTGAGTGATGAGGAGTGATGTGAGTGTGAGTGATGAGGAGTGATGTGAGTGTGAGTGATGAGGAGTGATGTGAGTGTGAGTGATGAGGAGTGATGTGAGTGTGAGTGATGGAGAGTGGTGTTAGTGTGAGTGATGGAGAGTGATGTGAGTGTGAGTGATGAGGAGTGATGTGAGTGTGAGTGATGAGGAGTGATGTGAGTGTGAGTGATGAGGAGTGATGTGAGTGTGAGTGATGAGGAGTGATGTGAGTGTGAGTGATGGAGAGTGATGTGAGTGTGAGTGATGAGGAGTGATGTGAGTGTGAGTGAGATATGATGTGAGTGCGAGTGATGGAGAGTGGTGTGAGTGTGAGTGATGGAGAGTGATGTGAGTGTGAGTGATGAGGAGTGATGTGAGTGTGAGTGATGAGGAGTGATGTGAGTGTGAGTGATGGAGAGTGGTGTTAGTGTGAGTGATGAGGAGTGATGTGAGTGTGAGTGATGGAGAGTGGTGTTAGTGTGAGTGATGGAGAGTGATGTGAGTGTGAGTGATGAGGAGTGATGTGCGTGTGAGTGATGAGGAGTGATGTGAGTGTGAGTGATGAGGAGTGATGTGAGTGTGAGTGATGAGGAGTGATGTTAGTGTGAGTGATGGAGAGTGATGTGAGTGTGAGTGATGAGGAGTGATGTGAGTGATGGAGAGTGGTGTGAGTGATGAGTGATGGAGAGTGATGAGGAGTGATGAGGAGTGATGTGAGTGTGAGTGATGAGGAGTGATGAGGAGTGATGAGGAGTGATGTGAGTGTGAGTGATGAGGAGTGATGTGAGTGTGAGTGATGGAGAGTGGTGTTAGTGTGAGTGATGGAAAGTGGTGTTAGTGTGAGTGATGAGGAGTGATGTGAGTGTGAGTGATGAGGAGTGATGTGAGTGATGAGGAGTGATGTGAGTGTGAGTGATGAGGAGTGATGTGAGTGATGAGGAGTGATGTGAGTGATGGAGAGTGATGTGAGTGTGAGTGATGAGGAGTGATGTGAGTGATGGAGAGTGGTGTTAGTGCGAGTGATGGAGAGTGATGTGAGTGTGAGTGATGAGGAGTGATGTGAGTGTGAGTGATGAGGAGTGATGTGAGTGATGGAGAGTGATGTGAGTGCGAGTGATGGAGAGTGATGTGAGTGTGAGTGATGAGGAGTGATGTGAGTGTGAGTGATGAGGAGTGATGTGAGTGTGAGTGATGAGGAGTGATGAGGAGTGATGTGAGTGTGAGTGATGGGGAGTGATGTTAGTGTGAGTGATGAGGAGTGATGTGAGTGTGAGTGATGCGGAGTGATGTGAGTGTGAGTGATGAGGAGTGATGTGAGTGTGAGTGATGAGGAGTGATGAGGAGTGATGTGAGTGTGAGTGATGGGGAGTGATGTTAGTGTGAGTGATGAGGAGTGATGTGAGTGTGAGTGATGCGGAGTGATGTGAGTGATGAGGAGTGAGGTGAGTGTGAGTGATGGAGAGTGATGTGAGTTGTAGTGATGAGGATGCTGAGTGAGTGCTGAGGAGTGATGTGAGTGTGAGTGATGAGGAGTGATGTGAGTGATGAGGAGTGATGTGCTGAATCGCACTTTAATACCTTGACCGCTGTGGGAGTCTATCCCATTTACGGACCGAGATTTGCAATTTATTGCAAATCCACCTAAACTATCGAAAGCGTGGCGGGAGAGGGGGAGGGAGGGCCGGTGGGTGGGTGGGAGGTGGTGGGAGGGAGGGAGGTGAGATAATGGAAGGGAGATGAATCGTTGGAGACAAGAGGCGGGAGATAGGTGGGAGCCGAAGAGATGAGATCGAGGAGGTGGGTGGGTGGGGGGGGAGATGGAAGTGAGGAGGAGAGATGGCAGCTGGGAGAGGGGAGATGAGGTGAGGCTCACCGCCATCACTCGTGGAGTGCTTGTACCAGTCACTGTGAACAAGAAATCACGAACAAGGAATCAGCAGCACACCCGACCGCCTTTGTCTCCCTCGTGGCGATGTTCACACCTACGCCCCCTCCCAAACACGCACACGCACGGCCTCGATTCTCCGGCCCACGGCGCACGGGAAGTTCGAGGCGGCGTTGGAACCGCGTGGAGAATCGACCCCAGGGCAGCTAAAGAGACGAAGATTGGACGCGGGGGAGCCGAAATCTCCCCCCCCCCCCAGCGTCTCCCCCCACAGCGTCCCCCCCCCAGCGTCCCCCACCCCCCCCCCCCAGCGTCTCCCCCCCAGCGCCCCCCCCCCCCAGCGTCTCCCCCCCAGCGCCCCCCCCCAGCGTCTCCCCCCCAGCGCCCCCCCACCCGCCTCCTGACTCCCCACCCGCGATCACAGCGCCACCGATGTCAGCAGACCTCCAGATTATTAAACAGCAGCAAGGGGAAGCCTCGCCGTGTCGCTCACGGTCGGCGGTTATCGCAATGGCTGGATGATGAACGGCTGCAATTCGCACTCTCTCTGGGCGCCACGGTGGCGAGGAGATGTTAACTACCTCGCCTGGTATACAGGAGTTCGTGGGTTCCATCCCGACCCTGACGCCTGCTGCTGTATATTTGGAGTTTGCGTGTCTCTCTCCACGTGGTGAGATGTTAACTACCTCGCCTGGTATGCAGGAGGTCGTGGGTTCGATCCCGACCCTGACGCCTGTTGTATATTGGAGTTTGCGTGTCTCTCTCTACACGTGGTGAGATGTTAACTATCTCGCCTGGTATACAGGAGGTCGTGGGTTCGATCCCGACCCTGACGCCTGTTGTATATTTGGAGTTTGCGTGTCTCTCTCCACGTGGTGAGATGTTAACTACCTCGCCTGGTATTCAGGAGGTCGTGGGTTCGATCCCGACCCTGACGCCTGTTGTATATTGGAGTTTGCGTGTCTCTCTCCACGTGGTGAGATGTTAACTACCTCGCCTGGTATACAGGAGCTCGTGAGGTCGATTCCGACCCTGACGCCTGCTGCTACTGTATATTTGGAGTTTGCGTGTCTCTCTCCACGTGGTGAGATGTTAACTATCTCGCCTGGTATACAGGAGGTCGTGAGGTCTCTCCCGACTCTGACGCCTGCTGCTGCTGTATATTTGGAGTTTGCGTGTCTCTCTCCACGTGGTGAGATGTTAACTACCTCGCGTGGTATACAGGAGGTCGTGGGTTCCATCCCGACCCTGACGCCTGCTGCTGTATATTTGAAGTTTGCGTGTCTCTCTCCACGTGGTAAGATGTTAACTACCTCGCCTGGTATACAGGAGGTCGTGAGGTCGATCCCGACCCTGACGCCTGCTGTATATTTGGAGTGGCTGTGTGGATTTTTCTCCGGGCCCTCCGGTTTTTCCTTCCACATTTAGAATCACACGTTTAGAGGATTTGGCTGCTATATATTTCCACGTGATTATAAGCCACTTCGTTCATCTATCATCTGTGGCAGGCCGTTTCTGAGTTAAATAGCGCAGTGTGCCTTACCTAGTAAAACAAAAAAATCTAGTTTATATCCTGGTCTAAACACGTGCTGTGTGACTCTGTGTTTGTAGCTGGTCTCTCCTAGGTCGACTTGGCCTCAATTGAGTACCCGGCTGGGTGTACAAAATAAAATCAGCATTGGGGGAGACAAAAGCGGCCGGGCGTGGGGTGTACGCTCACACCGCTCCCTCGTGTGCAATCCCGGCCTTTAAAGGCATTGCTGATGCTCGCTAAAAGCACTTTCCTCAAAATTCTGTTGAGGCTATACGGGGATCTTTATATGTGTCTTGTACACGCGGCACTGGGTCTAACCTGAGCCAACTCAGCCTCATACGAGTCCCTGGTGAGACCAGCACTGGGGCGACATCGGCACTTGGGAGACAAAGGCGGCCGGGCGTGGTGTTATATTTGCCCACCGCCCTCTCATGTTCCGTGATTGCCTTAATAGGCGCTCGCTAACAGCAAGTTCTCTCGACAGGGGCGGGCGACGGTGGCCTATCGGTGTAGCGCGTCCGCCTCTCGTCGCAGGGGCCACACCGGTTAATACTGCGGTTGTTTAACCCTGGGAGTCATCCGCGGCCGTCCCCATTCAGAGCGGACGTTACAGCACCCTGGTCGGCATTGGCAAGAGCCGAGGCCGCTGTTGTGTGTGTGGCCTGCTGGCGGTCAGGGTCCAGATTTTGCCAGGTGTGAAAAATGACTCAATTATAACTCACAGTGGTTATCATCGCCCCCCCCCGACTGGCAGGCCTGATGCCCAAGATCACTCTCGTGAGACGAACGAGACTCGTCCTGGTCTCTTGGTAAAACAAACTTGAGCCCGTGTAGGATGTTTATACACGTGTGTTTGTGTGTGCACACAAACAAATCAAAGACAAAGATCCACCGTATAGCCTTGACAGATTACTGGGGCAAGTGCTGTGAGCACCTACGAAGCCCGGTACACTAGGGGGTGGGTGGGCAGCAACACACCAGGACGCCTTTGTCTCCCCAGTGGCGGTGTTTACACATTGCACCAGGTGCTCGTTTTGAGGCTAAGTCGATCTAGGGGAGTCCCAGGGCCGCTTCAGGTAATCGTTACTGGTGTTGGCCGTGAGCGGGAATCAAACTCTGGGCGCCCGGTTTGTAACCGCTGCACACACACACACGTGCACACACACACACACGTGCACACACACACGTGCACACACACACGTGCACACACACGTGCACACACACACGTGCACACACACGTGCACACACACGTGCACACACACACACGTGCACACACACACACGTGCAACAACAACAACCGCCATTCGCCACTAAGTGGCGTGACGTCACCACGACGCTTGTGCCAGGCTATGTGCACCCTGAGGCCACGTGAAGCGTCGAACGCCCGCTGGCAGGAGGTCACGGGGCAGACCCAAGTGCCACGGGTCGACTGACTAAGATGACTGAGATGACTGGCTGATGCACCACCTGTGCCCCCTACTGTGCCAACCTGCTGTGCTTTAGCCACCCGGCGCTCCGCTCGTTGTTGTGAGCGTCGCTCCTCCGCCCTCCGTTGTTGTTGGAGGGCGACTGCCTCCAACTGCCCAGTAGCGTCCTTCACGAGCCTCCTCCACAGAGGCCGATCTTGATACCGCTGGTACCAGTCATCGGCACACACACTCACATGCACGCACACACACACGTGCAAACACACATGGGACCCTATTTGTCTCTACTGGTGACAACCTGGGTCTCCGCCCCCCTTGATTAAAGAGACAAGAC